CTCTTTGTCTCACGCTGACACGCTCTCGCTCACGCTGACACACTCTCAATCTCGTGCTCTCTCTCTCACCCTGACTCGATCTCGTGCTCTCTCTCACGTTGACTCGATCTCACGCTCTCTCTGTCTCATGCTGACACGCTCTCGCGCTCTGTCTCACGCTGACTCGATCTTGCGCTGTCTCTGCCTCACGCTGACACGCTCTGGATCTCGCGCTCTCTCTGTCTCACGCTGACACGCTCTTGATTTCGCGCTCTCTGTCTCACGCTGACACGCTCTCACGCTCTCTCTGTCTCACGCTGACACGCTCTCGCTCTCGCGCTCTCTCTGCCTCACGCTGACACGCTCTCGCGCTCTCTCTGCCTCACGCTCTCACGCTGTCTCTGCCTCACGCTGACACGCTCTTGCTCTCGCGCTCGCTCTGTCACATGCTGACATGCTCTCGCGCTCTGTCTCACACTGACACGCTCTCGTTCTCGCACTCTCTCTGTCTCACGCTGACTTGATCTCGCGCTCTTTCTGTCTCACGCTTACACGCTGTCGCTCTCATGCTCTCTCTGTCTCACGCTGACACGCTCTCACTCTCGCTCTCTCTCTGTCCCACACACACATCCACTCATTGTACTGAAACAGGGTATTCATGTTGGAGTGAAGGATGATGCCCTTGTTTATCCTAAAATGTGCAGTTAATTTTCTTCTTCTGAAAACATGAACTTGCAAGGCTTCTTTGACATAAGTTTTGACAGGAATAATATTTCTATTTCAAGGGAAGAGTCTGTGATGTGCTAGTTGAGAAAGTATAGATTTGTCTGAGTGATGGACACAGGCATCTGATGGACAGATTGCTATGGAATGGAAGAAGGGGATATATGAAGGATAATGTTATAAAATCGCCCACTGGGATAATGATTCAGGAAATTTTGCTATTAGTGAGACGTCTGGATTAAACGTGGGCAAGCAGTTTGGCACTGGCTCGTACCTGTGCCTTGATGTCAAACCATTTCCAGTGAGGGCAGCTCAGGGTCCAGTCAGCTCCCTGTCACTTTCTGTTCAACAGCCAGTTGAGGCTAGTCATTGGTGATTGTCTCCATTCTCATTTTGACGAGGGTTTTCAGTCAACATTCAGGGCAGCAGAGCAAGTTAGTGCGCTCAGCAGGAATTGTGTGTATGACGTGTGTATGTGTTTGTGAGTGGATGGAGTGGCGGTGGAAGTGGCACTGAAGGTGGCATGGAATGGATTATGTGAGAGAGCCATTCTAAAGCAGGCTGCGTAAATTCAGAATCTCAAACGTCAAACTCCTGGCCCAACTTGTAAATCCAATGCGAAGAGTTCAAGATACACTGGTGTCAAGACAGGCATTTAAAGAAGCAGAGCTTATAAAGTTGTAAAGACATACGAGAAAAGTTTAGAGACTTCACCTAAATGGAGAATATGAAAGACGTTCTTATTTAAATGCCTGTGTTGTGCCAAACTAAAAAAAATGTAGGTTTCAAACTATTTATCATATCAATTAGCTAAGCATTCAAGTACTCCTAAGCACACTACTTAAAATTGACAAGTGGAACAAAATGTTTCCTAGGCAGAATATGTGCTGACGAACCTAGTGAGTTTTAGAGTAGTCAGCTGAAATCTTCCTCCACTGTTAGTGTCTCTCTGGAGAGAGACAGAATACTGGTACTTATTGATTAAAATTTCATCATGTTACATCTGTTCTTATAAAAAGGCATATTCTCTGAATTAACCATCAACAGGAGCACAAGAAATCATTTATTGTTTTCAAACATCTATGAATGTATAGACCAATTGGAATGGTAGTTAATATTTTATGCCAAATATTGGAGAAGCCCTAACCTTTATCTGTATTATGCAATTTAAAAGAAAAATTGCAAAAGCCACAAATCAATATTGCTTCATTATATTTTAAGCAAAGACTCTGTATAATATATTTACTGTCAAGAAACCTTAAAAAAAGTGAAATCAGAGCAATTTGAATGTATCGGTTTCTGTTTCTAACCTTTGTAATCACTACTTCAATAAGAAAACAATTCTCTAACTTCTACTTCACTTTCTTTATCTGACAGACTGTGGATGGAAGAATTGAAGTTCAAAGCCATGCAAGAGTTTCCTCCTTGACTCTCAAGGACATTCAGCACACAGATTCTGGAGAATATATCTGCAAGGCTAAGAATTCAATTGGTCAGGATTCTGAGACCATGTACTTGGAAGTGCAGTGTAAGTAAATTTAATGCAACTTGAATTTCATGTCTTAGTCTTTGTTTTCATTAATTATTGAGGAACTGATTTAACAGTGAGCAAGAGAGTGAAGTTAAATAATTCTAGAGAACAATTTTTTTTAAACTTGTATATTTTTTCCTTTCAAAAGTATACTATATCTTACAGTAGCGCTATCTTCGTCTTGATTTACTGATCAATAATCCATTCCCAATTTCTCTCCATGTTCCTACATGTTCACTATCACAGTTTTAAGACGGAGATTTTTTAAAAATAAAATACTGCAGATGCTGGAAATCTGACATAAGACAGAAAATGTTAGAAATGCACATCAAGTCTCACAGCATCTGTGGAGAGAGAAAGTCAGATCTAATACTTCAGGTCCATGACCTGTCTTTAGAACTGACCCAAATAGATTCCACTTGGCTCCAGTCAATGTAACTTGTAAAGGTGCGAATGAGGGTATGTTTGATTGCAGTCCAAGTGATTTTCCTTTGGCAAAACACTTAGATTTGGCTCTTGATTTCTTCCTGAGACAGGAACTCCTGCTCATTTTGCCATTAACATTGATGCTGAATTGAAGCTGAACCCAAGGTCAATGGATGGATGTTGTTTCTGCGAGCATCATTTAGCATAAAAGCAAGTCACCCAGTAGTAAGAGATAGTAGGAACTGCAGATGCTGGAGAATCTGAGATAACAAGGTGTAGAGCTGGATGAACACAGCAGGCCAAGCAGCATCAGAGGAGCAGGAAGGCTGACGTAGAAGGGTGACGTTCTTCAGAAGGGTCTAGGCCCGAAACGTCAGCCTTCCTGCTTGGCTGATGCTGCTTCACCCAGTAATAAATTCAAATTTTGTCTCTTCTACCTGAAAGCCTGGGAAACACCCCCACTTCTCTGGTCTCCATTCGAATGCTCCTTTACTTTAAAAGAAAATTCCACCTATTTATCTTTGGTGACTGCAGGAATCACTGACCAACGAAGGCACGAGGCTCTCTCAGCAACTATAACTGTTGTCAAGGGGTCAGTTCACACATTCATGAAGCTGAATGCTGATCTTCTGTACAAAGAACAAATACACATCATTTTTCTACCACAAGATCCAAAGTAAAGTTCGATTAAAATTAGGATTATTGTCTTAATCAAAACTCAAAATGCCTGAAATTATGTAGTGATAGAAATCAGGTGGATCTCATTGACTGAGATTCTTGATCGGGGTTGTTAACCTGAGCCAATAAGGGAACCCTGGCTGACAGATATAAACAGGGGATTTGGAGAGTCTCCTGACTTCATGGACTGACTCTGAGCTGGCCAGTCATGACCAGTGTACTGTGCACATGCAAAAGGGTGAGTTGGTGACAGGATACTAGCCTCTGTGCAGTTATTTCAGATCATTAAATTACTATGTCCAATGACCATATTTATAAAAAATTGCTTGATGGCTTGTATCACACTGCAGCAGAAAGGGTTCCTGAACTAAGATTATAGTTACAAACTCCATTCACTTGAACAACAGTCCTCTACAATTAAGCCTATCACTGTGGTTCTAATGTTCAATTCCAAAGAAACATCCAACACGTCTAGATTTTTCTTCCTTCAAACAATCTCATATAATAGTGTAGAGCTGGATGAACACAGCAGGCCAAGCAGCATCAGAGG